CTGTGTGTGTGTGTGTGTGTGTGTGTGTGTGTGTGGGTGTGTGTGTGTGTGTGTGTGTGAATGCTGAGGTAGGAGATTACAGTTTGAGTTTTAGTGCAGTTGTGTAACCTGCACCTTGAGCCCTGCACCCCTTTGTGGTAAGGGGACATTCTGGGACCAAAGCAGCCTGATTCCTGGCTGAAGGGGATCCCTGCCAGAAGAAAGCAGCCCCTCTGTAATGACTGAGTTGTCTCTGAACATGAAGCTCATACATGGAGGCTGCGTCTAGACTGGCAAGCTATCTACGCCGGCCGCTTGATTTTGCGCAAAAGCACTGACGTTCTACTGTCCGAAATCAGTGCTTCTTGCGCAAATGCTTTGACGTTCCCATTCGGGCAAAAGCCCTTTTCCGGAAATGTTTTTGTGCAAAAGGGCCAGTGTAGACAAGGAGGTATTGTTTTGCGCAAAAAAGCCCCAATCACAAAAATGGTGATCAGGGCTTTCTTGCGCAAAACCGCATCTAGATTGGCACTGACGCTTTTCCACAAAAAGTGCTTTTGCGTAAAAGCGTCCATGCCAATCTAGACACTCTTTTCCGCAAATGCTTTTAACGGAAAACTTTTCCGTTAAAAGCATTTGCGGAAAGTCATGCCAGTCTAGACGTAGCCAGAGTCTGTGAGTGCACTCTCTTTTAGTTAGTCAGGGAATTTGGAGAGTCTCCTTCGAGTGGTCCCCGTGGGTGCTCCACTCTGGGTGTTGGTGCGTCCTCGCTCCGGCAACCCGAGACTTTTTCTAGCAGTTTCTGCCGTGCTGCGCAGGTGCCGTAGCTCCCTCTAGTGCCGTTGGAACTGTTGAGCGCCTGCGCGGCGCGGCTCCTCAGTTCCTTTTCTACCATCCTCGGCAGCAGACGGAGTCAACGGTTCTCCTATCTTCCTGTTTAAAAATAGATAAAAAACCCACATTTAACTCATAGTTTCCCTCAAACTCCAAGTTTTTTTAGCCCTCCTTTCCTCCCCTGTCAGTTTAAAAAAAAATTACAAAAAAAAATTTTTTCCTCGTTGCGCTTGCTGCTTTTCCCCAACCCCTCCTGCTCAGTTCCCCGGGCTTCAAGAGGTGTGAGTCATGTCGGGATGCCATGCCTGCCTCGGAGGGGCATTCCAAATGCAGTAAGTGCTTAGGAGAGGCACATCAAACTCAAAAGTGCCCCCACTGCTCAAAATTAATGGCGCGGGCACGTCGAGACCCAGCAAACAGATTGAAGACCTTGCTCTATGAGAAGTCTCTTCGCCCATCTTTGCAGGACTCTCGTACAACTTCAACATCAGCTCATCAAACCAAGGGTATGGAGAAAGATCCTCCCTCTACCCATTCTGGGCCCACGACCTCAAAAACTAGTCTAACCCCAAGTCCATTTCGGTGCCGTTGGCCGCACGGGCTACCACCGAGCCCAGGCCAGGAACCTCAGGAACAGCACTGCCTAAACCATCGGCACCTCGCAAGAGAACACACTCCGAGCCGTCACCAGTATCTGCGGCACCTACTGGTCCGGGACTGGAGACTCCCTTGGTGCCGACGGGCGGCCACAAAGATCAGCTGAAACACCATGCAAAGCCAGCACCGGGCCCAGTGCCAAAGAAGCACCGCACTGACATGCCACCACCGGGCACTTCAGCACCTGATTGGCCCTCAGCACTGTCACCCTCACCATTTTCGGGGCCGACCCCGGCACCTCCTACTCTGCACCGTGCGGCACCGACCGCGAGTCACGAACAGCACCATTCTCAGACCCGGAGCCGCACATCCTCAGCACCGCCTTCTCCTGCTTCTTCTGTCCATTCAAGGAGGTCTCGTCACTCTTCGGTCATCTCTCGATCCCCCAGCGAGATTGGCACCGATTCAAGGAGCAGATTCTCCTCCCAGCATTCTAGCCCAGAGCACAGACCCCCCTCTTGGCAGCCTGTGGTGGTTCAATATGCATGCCCTCCCCCTCCACACCCATGGTATGCTCAACAATACACTTACCCACCATTACCATACGCCAACCCATGGCAACCATGGGAGCAACGTTCAAAAAAGGGCCACCATCGAGTGCCTTCGACCAATTCTAGACCTCCACCTCCCGATACTCCTGACGCCACTGAGGTGCTTTCTGTAACTGAGAACTCCCCGACCCCCTCGGAGGCACATGATTCGCTCTCTGAGGGAGAAACCAGATCGCCGTCTAACTTCTCGTCCTCATCACCAGACGAAGCGGTCACACCTGAAGCTCCGCTATCTGGGGATGACATCAGGAAATTTCAAGACCTTTTTAAAAGGGTGGCCGTAGCTCAACAACAAGATCTCCAGGAAGTGCAGAAGAAACAATATTTCCTTCTCCGCACACTACAACCTACAACTACCTCCAGATTACTTCCAGAGTGCACTCTCTTTTAGTTAGTCAGGGAATTTGGAGATTTTATAACCTGCTGCCTATTAAACCTGTGGAGGGATTTAGCTTGTGAGTCCTTTGGGCTGTACTGGACCCAATCAGCCCCACTGCTAAACCACTGCAGAGAAGAATTCTTTGGTCATAAATTATCAAGGGCCCCAACAAAGTATGTGGACCAATGGGACACTAATCTTACCGTTACTGGGAACCGGTGAACCTAAAAATAGTGTTTTACCCTGTTACATTATATTTGTCTCCTGTTTAATATAATTGTGTTTAATATAGTGTATGTGTTATTTTCTGGGAGTCTCCAACTATCTGGCAAGTATGCGGGGATTACTCTGGACTAGAATTTTCTTCCCAGGCTGCCTGGGGACCCTGCCAGGAAGGAGTGAGGAAGGTGGAGGCACCGCCAAAAAACTCCATAGGAAAAAATAAAGTGTGTGTGTGGCGGGATCCAGAAGAACCCAGACCTGTCCATCAAAACCTGTAAGCAGATAGATTTGCTACGTAGTCCTGTATTTTGTAAGCAGATAGGTATTAAAGAAGGTAACCAGGTGAAGAGGGGCGCTACACATATACATCAATTAGCCATATCTGAGAACTGATGCTCATTTACATTCCCAGTTGTTATTTCATACTTCCAAACCAAATCTTCCTGCACTAAAACAGAAATGAAAGGCAAGTGATGGTAATATTGCTGTTTTCTTTAAAGACACTGTTGCTGTGTCTAGACTGCATCCCTTTTCCGTAAAAGGGATGCAAATTAGACACATCGCAATTGCAAATGTAGCCGGGATTTAAATCCCCCCCGCTTCATTTGCATAAAAATGGCTGCCGCTTTTTTCCGGCTCGGAGCTTTGCCAGCAAAAAGCTCCAGTCTAGATGGGGATCTTTCGGAAAATAAAGCCTTTTCCGAAAGATCCCTTATTTCTTATTTTAAGAGGAATAAGGGATCTTTCGGAAGAGGCTTTATTTTCCGAAAGATCCCCATCTAGACTGGCACTTTTTTCCAGCAAAGCTCCGACC